ACTAATTTACTGAAGTTTGTAAACATTAATGTAGCTTAAACATTCTTGGAAAGAGTGAATCAACGATTTTTTTCTTTTTTAGTTTTTAACTATGCAATGTGGAAACCATTATAAGGTAAATGTAAACTATACGTAGGTTAAAAAGAGTTACCTGTGAAATTCCAAAATTCATTGTGATTTTTTTCGTTTTCCTTTAGTTAGTAATTGATACTCTTCTTGTTGGTTATCAGTTGGAAGTTGAGAAATTGACTGAAGACGATTGAGGTCCATCGCCTTTTTATATATATCATGAACGTGAGTGAAACGTAGTTTTATTAAGATAAATTTAGAAAAGTAAAACGTTTCATTTATTTTCCGCTTCTGTTTTCATCCGATTCTGACTCGAATTTGAGTCGGTTTGAATAGGAAAAGTAAAAATACCCCTATTACTGCTTTAGTTGTTTTAAGGGTGAGATAAGGAAATAAAAGTGACCAAAAGAAAAAACGTCCTGCGTTAGGTAATAGTTTCACAAGTAGAAGATTTTTCCTTTCAGCTCACACATTTCTTTACAGTACTCAGACTAAGCACAAATATTTGTTCCATAGCGAGCCCTGCGCGTCAACTTCATTGTGCAAAACGTCAACTTGTATTGTTGTGCAAAAATGGTTTCTTTATTGTAAACAGCTCAAACGAATGGAAACTGAAGTCTTGGGCTTAATTCGTATCTTGCATTACTTTGGTTTATTCTTGTTCAGATAAGCAAAACTCACTGCATTTCTTAGAACTTCCTTTGTCGAAGAAAAATGTATCTGTTAGGTTCATTACGTACGTTGTGTTTAATAAGTGTGTTACAAACGTTTTTTGCCAACAAGGCTTTTAAAAGCCTGGTAACATGTGAATACAGCTTGATATTAAAACAGTGTTGAGTGAATTTGTGGAATACTAAATATAGACGTCGTTCATTATATGAAAACAACTTTTCTATTTAATTTAAGGGCTTTTATTTCTAGCTCTTGGAGAGAAAAGGGAAACCTCCATCATAGTTTCAACCCTTCGAGTATGTGTCCAAAATTGTAATTAACCTACAAAATACTCAAATTACATCATCGATAGTCACGTTTATTTTGGAAGTCGCACATGGACTAATACTACTGCAATAGGACGTTTCAAGCAGACACACTTTACTAGCATTCATCGCCTCGAATTGAGGCCTTGTAAAGGTTGTTTCATAGGAAATATAACATTCCCGATAAAATTTACAACCTATCATTCATTTATCACGAAAATAGCTCAGAGCAGTCAGTGTTCCTGTTTACACATTCACACAACAACCGCAACTCTTCCGGTCCGATGTTAGATAATATATTTAATTAAAACGACATGATTAGGATGGCGGACGTGACCACTGGTAGAGAGATGTACTCTAGAAATATCTTTTTAAACTCTGAAACAAGATAAAAAAGGGTATGAATTTTGAGCTTGATTTTCGACTGAGAAAGAAGTTGAAGAAAATAAGCCCCCCTGGACCCTCCGATTTCGTGGTATGATGTTATTACACCACTGAGCTTCATTGACCTGTTCGGCGAGCTGTACCTTATGTAAAGTTTATGTGTCAAATATGCTGTACGTTGCCAGGATCAGCAATGAAGAAAACTCCAGGTGTGTAAACATCCACTATAGAATTACTCATACAAAGTAGTGCTTGCTGGGTGACTCTTTAGACGTAGCATTTTTTATTCCTAATGTGAGACATACTTTAAGTTACGTATGATGCACGATCCTCGCAGTAGATAGCGCTATTTATGCAATAGCGAAAATCAGACCTGAATAAAATCAGGCCTGTACGGGACTCGAACCACTGACCTCTGCGATACTAGTGCAGCGCTCTACCAATTGAGCTAACAAGCCAACTGGGAGTAGGCCGTTAAGTTGATTCGTAATAAACCCGTGAAAGTGATAAATGAGATACAATGAATATAAGAAGTTCTTATATTTTGAATCAACGTAACGGCCTACTCCCAGTTGGCTTGTTAGCTCAATTGGTAGAGCGCTGCACTAGTATCGCAGAGGTCAGTGGTTCGAGTCCCGTACAGGCCTGATTTTATTCAGGTCTGATTTTCGCTATTGCATAAATAGCGCTATCTACTGCGAGGATCGTGCATCATACGTATCTAATACCGCAGTTCAAAATATAAGAACTTCTTATATCATCGTATCTCATACTTTAAGTTGTTCTATAATTCTGCCGCTAGATGCACAGGCAGCCCAAGCTCACCACTAGAAAAGTGGACGTGACTCTTACCGTGTTGCGCAACGTTTTATATATGTAAAGGTTTGTATGGGATGTTATCGGTTTGCCTTAAAAGAGAGAAAAAAATGTCTTGTTTTGAAATAAAATGGGCTTACCTTATTGCTTTGTTGTTTTCTTTGTTGATTCCGAGCGTCTCATGCCATTTTGAAGCGTTTTCGGTGAGTTAGCGCTATGTTGGTGTTCAACTGCTAAAAGAAAGACAAGGCCGGAAACCTACTTTAGAAGCGTCCGTCGCCCGAAGCGAATAAATCCGCCAAAAAACTACCACCAGTATCGATTCCTCCAGAAAATCAAAGCAGAGATGTTGCAGTTTCATTTCCATTCACTCGATTCCCAATTCCTCCCACAGATCTTTCACTAGCGATGCTTTTATCTCCAGATCGATCGGCTTTCCAATTTCGAATTGGCTGCTTGAAACATTTGCGGGCCCATTGGCCGATCGCACAGTATGTTGGGTAACAAAAATAAGTCCGGCGAGGGTAGCCAGCGACCTGCAGTCGACAAACAAACCAGTTAGCTCCCCTGGTCCCCTCGAGAGGTTTTGTCAAGACCGCATTGTTTTGATCACACATTTCCATTCGATGTTGATTGGTCGATCAAAACAATGCGGTCTTGACAAAACCTCTCGAGGGGACCAGGGGAGCTAACTGGTTTGTTTGTCGACTGCAGGTCGCTGGCTACCCTCGCCGGGCTTATTTTTGTTACCATACATACTGTGCGATCGGCCAATGGGCCCGCAAATGTTTCAAGCAGCCAATTCGAAATTGGAAAGCCGATCGATCTGGAGATAAAAGCATCGCTAGTGAAAGATCTGTGGGAGGAATTGGGAATCGAGTGAATGGAAATGAAACTGCAACATCTCTGCTTTGATTTTCTGGAGGAATCAAGACTGGTGGTAGTTTTTTGGCGGAATTATTCGCTTCGGGCGACGGACGCTTCTAAAGTAGGTTTCCGGCCTTGTCTTTCTTTTAGCAGTTGAACACCAACATAGCGCTAACTCTCCGAAAACGCTTCAAAATGGCATGAGACGCTCGGAATCAACAAAGAAAACAACAAAGCAATAAGGTAAGCCCATTTTATTTCAAAACAAGACATTTTTTTCTCTCTTTTAAGGCAAACCGATAACATCCCATACAAACCTTAAAAATATAAAACGTTGCGCAACACGGTAAGAGTCACGTCCGCTTTTCTGGTAGTGAGCGTGGGCTGCCTGTGCTAGATGTAGAGTCGGCTGTAGTACAAGGCATGGGTAAATGCAAAAAGATAAATTAAGCGAAATGAGCGACACTAAAAGATAGACTTTTAGTTACTGGAGCCATGACGTCACGGCCTCAAGTTATAAGTGCTTTTGCATGTTTGTCTGTTTGCTTTGCTCCTTTTTTGTTTTAGTTACTTTTGTTTTGCCATGTTACTCGAACCGCCACGCGTAACGTGACGGGCTTATCTTAACTGCTTAATTTCTTTACGTCAACGGGTTACCCGAAACTCTCTTTCCTCTTTTGTGTTTGTTTGTTTGTTTGATCTCTTGTCGGTAATCTTGTGAGAGAGTAGTTTAAGACCTTAATTTCGTTTAGTTTGCGCTCAATCGCGTTGCTTTCTGCACAATTTTAAGGCACACTCACGTTTGGCAGATAAGAAAAGCTTATGTAATTTTCCAGACTTAGACATAATATACTCAACTGGATGTTATCAATATCCGGCCTTTGTTGACATAAATTGAGGTCGCTGTCTCAACGAGTTCTCTGATTGTCAGCTCACGTTGGTTTTAAATGTCACGGCAACGCAAATCTCGTGATGAATGTTACGATTACAACACTCTGCATTAATGAGATCTTTGGTTTCAATCTTGCTGAACCCCAAAAATTCATTTTTCTCCTAGTCATAGTGTAGTTATTGTCAGCCATATGTTTTTAATATTGATAATGATAAATGATAATTGTCATGAATAAAGCAGTGTTTAATGGCATATGAAGTGGTGCTAAAGAGAATATGAACTTTCAAAACGATCTTTATCCCACCCGTGTTATTGAGTATCAATCCGCTGTATTTCTGATCGCTTGCCTCCTGTCCGAAAAAGGTAGCCATCCACTGACGGTTGTTGCTAATACAATCTTTCGCAAACATACACATCCATTGTGGCTCAAGTTTCTTGAAAAATCTAAGCTTGTTAATTACCATGTGTTCATTGGATCTTATTTTAACTCTATTGGAATTTGGATTATTAAAGCAATTATGTTTACATGCTTTTGCGTCTGAATGCCCATTTGATTATAGAAGCCACCAACCAGGTCGTCAACAGGCTGCGTCACAGTTCTTTCGGAGTTAATTCACTTATTTTTTTCATTCCAAGCGACAAAGGCAGGTTTGTCGCTGTTAATTTCTATTTTTAGTATACAATCTTTCCCTTATGTTTTCTCAATGTCTTCATTTTAAATGTTTGTAGAAAATTTGATGAGTGTATAGTGCAGTTTTCTCCAGTCAAAAGGTGCTGTCGTTATTCGTGATGTACGTTGACCCTTTAAATGCCCTACCATGCGTAACATATGTGAAACAATGCATCACGTGTTCGAGATTACTGAACAGGATAATTATAAACAGCCGGGCCGCGATTGCGAACGTCATTCAAGCAAGAGTTGTACTTTTATTACACTTGAGTACAGAGTAAGCTCGACGATAAAAAAAAAAAAAAATGTGCGAATCTTTCTTTAGCAGTGTCCTCGTTCTATTCATTTGGAGCAATGTTGCATTCAAGTTTGTGCAGTGCCGGAGCACCCCCGGGACTTACTTCACTGATGAAACGAGGTTAGCTGGGCAGATGGAACCCTGTTTGAACAAATGTGGCAACAGATTTCAAACCAATGACGCGGAAATATCAAGTGAAGAGGTGACTGAGCATTTTTTATATTTTCAATGATGATAAGTTTAGTTGAAAGACAAATTGATTGTTGGGAATGTAGACAATGACGATATGCATGGAAGAACTTCAGCAAGTCAATAATTTAGTTCGGCAACGTGTAATGTTTCAATCATTTCCAATTCTGCCACCTTTTTCTCCTCGGAGATTCTTGCAGTCTTAATCTGTTCAGGGTCTCTTCAGATTAGACCGTTACTTTAGCTGTTCCAATTGTAGGTAAATTTTTAGCCTGTTAATATCAGAAATCGCAGCTCACTAAAGGAAATGAATAAGTTGCATTTTTAGAATTTTAATCGTGTTAACGTGTGGGGTTGTAATCAGAAAAATGCGAGACCCGCACCTGAGCTTTCCTTCCTCTTTTCTCGTAAGTGCACATCAAAATTTTTGAGGAAATAATATTTATGCAAGATCCTTGAAATAGAGTTAGCTAGTAAACCGGGCACGGTATTGAAAGGCACTAAAGTACTAAGCAGAAAATCTTAAACCTTTTTGTACTGAATCGTACTGTTCGCCAGCCACTTGTTCAAAAGAATGAACTGTGCGCACGTATTCATGTGTAAAGTGGCAAGTTGACGAAAATCATGATTGCAAATTGTTTTTTGTCTCAACTTAATCTTTGAACTAAGAAAGCTTTTACTGACTGTATACCGACGCACGTGTTCATATGTAAACAGGCAAATTGACGCAAATCATAATTGCAAATTATTTTTTGTCTCAACTTAATCTTTGAACCTAAGGCCCTGTTTACAAGCAGGGAGGGTAACCCTAGTGCTAGGGTTACCCTAGCAGGCGTGTCAAAGATAGCCCGGGTTTACAAGCAAAATTTCACAGGTAGGGTTACCCTACCACCCAGGACAAGTTACCTATGCTTGGCAACTGCACGCATTGCAAACAAAATGGCCGACAAGCGAAGGGTTCTGGCAGTTACTTCGATTCTGCTGTCGTTGCTGCCAGTCATAGCTGCTTATCAGTGCCATGGAGTTTTGCTGTGTTACCTTCTCGTTTCTAGAAAGCGACAGCAAGTTGCCATGTTAAACGCGGCCATGGAATACTATAAAGCACTCCCTCGAATGCGACATGTAAAAGGAGAATTATTCTACGAAGACGATTTCAAAGAAAATCAGGCCGTACGGATCAATGGTGGAAAAACTTATTTGAGGGCAGGATGGAGGAAAGCGAATGGAAGAAAAATTTCAGAATGGATCAGGATGTTTTCATGATCCTCGTTAATGAGGTTAGGCCTTTTCTTGAGCCTAGACGTGGTCCACGCGAAGATGATGTATTGTCGGTGGAAAAACAATTGGCTATGACTTTATACTATCTCAAGAATCAGGGGTCTATTCTTATGACTGGTAATGCTTTTAGAGTTGCCCTTTGTACAGTGTCCGTTGTTGTTCGTAAAGTTTGCTATGTTTTGATTGTCAAGTGTGGACCAAATGTTATCAAATTGCCAACCACAGAACAAGAGATGATGAACCTTGTGTCTAAAATGGAGAAAAAATTTGGTTTTCCGCAAGCGTTTGGATGTGTGGATGGAACACATATTCCTATTCTATTACCTAGGGAGAATCCGCATGATTACTTCAGTTACAAAATGAAGCCTACTTTGAGTGTACAAGCGGTTTGCGATTGTAAGGGAACATTCTTAGATGTTGATGTAAGGTGACCAGGTTCTGTCCATGATGGTCGAGTGTTTTCCAACTCAAGAATCAACAGAATGTTCAGCAAAGGTGAACTTCCTATGTTGTATAAGGAAATTTTGCCGGGCTATGACAAAGTGCCAGTGTTGTTACTTGGAGATCCAGCGTATCCCCTTCTGCCCTATTGTATGAAGGAGTACCCAAATCCAAGATCAAATGAAGAAGTCATTCTTGACAATATGCTAAGAAGTGGCAGAAATCCTATTGAATGTGCCTTTGGAAGGCTTAAAGCTAGGTGGCAAATCTTAAATAAACGTGTTGACTTGGGACTCTCATTTGTGCCCACTGTTATATATGCCTGTTTCGTGTTGCATAATTTTTGTGAAAAACATGGCATGCAAGTGGAAGATGATGATG